CCCCAAAAATCATCATCCGCTCCCCCTTCCTTCTGCCATTCTTATATTCAGTCTCACCAACCTTCCCCTGCGCTATTGCTTATCTGACACCCCACCGCCCCGCAACCACTGAACTCTGGGGGAATGACAAAACTACCCTTGCACTTGTGCTGCCCCCCGGCACTGCAAGGGTCAATTGCTTGTTTTTAGCTAGGGTACCATTGAAAAAACAGAAACACCTTATTCCTCACTCCCGAAATCTCCCTCCTTTCTGTGCCATCGGTCCACCAAAACTACTTTAGTGATCTGTCAGTTGCACTCTGCTGGGTAGATGCAGCATGCACTATCACCACTAGATGGCACTGAGGAGCAGATCCTATGCTCCTCAGCACCACCTAGTGGCAGAAGTGCCATGCGCTTGGCAATTGCCCAGCTACCTTCCTCCTTTCTGTGCCACCGATCCACCAAAGTCACTTTGGTGATCCGTCAGTTGCAGTCCGCTGGGCGGATGCAACATGCACTATCGCCACTAGATGGCACTGAGGAGCATAAGCAATACCTATGCTCCTCAGCACCATCTAGTGGCCGCAGTGCCTTACGAACGGCATCTTCCCAGCTATATGCTGGGCAGGAGAGTTATGAGTCACCCCCTAAGTTTTATTATCATTATTATACAGGATTTATATAGCGCCAACAGTTTGCGCAGCTCTTTTCAATATAAGGAAGACATTACAATCACAATACAATTCAAGATAAGATGGTAAGGAGGGCCCTGCCCCTGAGGACTTACAATCTAAAAGGGAGCATGCCTAGGGCAGCAAAGGGCAAAGTAACAAAAATTCAGTTACTCTATGGCTCATAAGCAGTGTGTGCTTACCTTAACCCCCCCCCCCCGCCCCCCCCCCCCCACACACACACACCATATAGTCTATTTATATATTATTAGAAGGGCCATCCGCCCTGTGAATGTTCATTCTATGCGGATATATGCCAAAATGAACGTTCTTTTGCTGTTTATTTCCAGGAAAATGTATTTTCGGAAGTGTTTTTCAATGCAATATTACATCATGGCCACTAGATGGCGATGAGGAGCATAGGAAATAAATATTTATACTTAGCTCCATCTAGTGGCCATAAGACAATATTAAATTAAAACATTCTAAAATTTAATTTCAATAGAAAAGACAAAAAAAAATAATGTTTCTTTTGGCATTTATTAGCACAGAACGAATGTTCACAGATATTTGCAGGGGGAATAGCCCGGCATTACGCTTGCTTTTGTAAATGAACCCCCATACTATGCATTCTGTGCATTAGGATAAACTATGTCCCAGTACCTTTCCATGCCCCCCACCCCCAAAAAAACGTACCTATGGCCCATGTTTACTGCTGCTGGCTCCAGGTCGTCCTGCGCCACTTTCCCAAATGTTTGGGTTGCAGAGGAGGGTATTGAGGGCACTGAGCATAGGGGAGCAATAGGCCCTTGCAGCTGCCTGTCAAATTGCTGGGAGGAGGTGGGAGCAGGGGTGAGGCTGACCCCCAATGAGGGTGAATCCCCCCCAGTGGGGACACAGACAGCAAAGCAAACCCAAAACTTGCTCTACCCTTCCCCCTTTTGGCTTTAGACACACATTGCCATAGGGAGGACCATTTAAAGGGCCATGAGCTGATGTGATGTTGGGGCTGTGATGTGGGATGTGGCAGGGTGGGTTGTACATCCTAAAAATGGGACACCTCATGACTATGACGGGCGAGCCTTGGCGAAAACCTGGTGGGGCGAGCGGGTGCGGAATATGGGCGACTCCTGGGATTTCCGGGTGACTTGACCAGTTTGGTATTTTACTGGATTTTTCACTAAAAAAATGGGAAATAATGAGTGACAGGTGGACAGGTAGGTATAGGAGATCACACAAGGAGGAGGTCACAGCAGGGTGAGGTTACCGCAATGCATGCAATTTCTGCTGTGACACACACGATATGCGGATGGGGATGATGATGAGGAGCACGCATGCAGGCTGCACGGGGATGATGATGACGGGGATGCGATCTGCTCATTCCTGGCACGAGGCAGGCAGCGGTGACGTCACGAAGTGGTTAGCACCGCGGGGTAGCGATGCGTTCCCATGGAGACGGGGAGCCGCTGGCCCCGCCCCCTCCTCCGCCCGGACACCTGGAAGCACACTGGCTCTCTGCGGACTACAGCGCGACAACCGGAGATCTCCCGTATACCAGACCTGCCGACCGGAGACCGGGCACTGATAGGGCGAGCCCGGCTGCAGCACTTCTCCCTGCGCCTGCACCCTTCCTCCAAGTACCGGTGCCTCCTGCCACCCATTACAGGCCCCCTCTGCACCACCCTACACCCAGCACCGGTCCTCTGAACCCCCCCCTTTCCCCCTGCACTGGTCCCTAGTGCCCCCTCTTCCTAGGAAGGGACATTCGTGCCCCCCTGCTGGTAAAGCACTGGTCTCCAGTTCCGTTTGTCCATTCCTCCCCATCACCAGTCCCCTGTGCCACCTTTCCCCCATCACCAGTCCCCTGTGCCCCTCTCCTCCCAGGAAAGGACCCCTGTGCCCCCTGGTCCCTGTACCACCTCTTCCTAGCAGTAGACGCCTTTGCCCCCTCTTCTAATCACCAGTCACTTGTGCCCCCTCTTCCTAGCACCAGACTCCTGTGCCACCCTGTGGTTAAAACCCTTCTACCACTTCTTCTCAGCAGAGGACCCCTGTGCCCCTTCTTCACAGCAGAGGACCCCTGTGTCCCCTCTTCACAGCAAAGGACCCCTGTGCACCCTCTTCACAGCAGAGGACCCCTGTGCACCCTCTTCACAGCAAAGGACCCCTGTGCACCCTCTTCGTAACAGAGGACCCCTGCGTCCCCTCTTCACAGCAGAGGACCACTGTGCACCCTCTTCGTAACAGAGGACCCCTGCGCCCCCTCTTCACAGCAGAGGATCCCTGTGCACCCTCTTCACAGCAGAGGACCCCTGTGCACCCTCTTCACAGCAAAGGACCCCGTGCACCCTCTTCGCAGCAGAGGGCCACTGTGCACCCTCTTTGCAGCAGAGGACCACTGTGC